AAAATCGGCCGATTTTATTTTTTAGCCGGAAATCATCGGTCGTTTCTTAGGCGCAGGGCCTCTTAACTCTATAAGTGGTCGCGGTCTGTTACAAGACGGGGTCACTTACAAGAGGTTCCAAATATAGTGAAATGACTTGGAAACTTGATTTGTTATTTTGGAAAACTGGTCGCTGAGGAGAGATGGTCGCTTACAAGAGATTCCAAATACAATGATTTGAAACTGGTCGCTTAGGAGAGGTAGTCGCTTACGAGAAGGTGGTCGCAAACGGAGGTTCGACTGTAGTGACTATTTTTGAAATACAGTATCAAACTTTCAAAATGTGAAGATCTTGTTGTGTGTTTCTGCGATCCTCTGACACAGAGGAACAGAGAGCTGGGTATTTCTGAGTCAGACAAAAAGTTAGCATGCATATTGCTCTGAGTACACATGAAATTTCACAACTTCATAAAACCGCAAAACAACTTTATTATTGAAATAAAATACATTGAAATAAGTAAAATTAAAAAAACAATACATAACTTGGCCAATACTGAAATAAAAGTTTTGTTCTTATGATTTGGCTAAAACATTTGCTTAAATATTTTAAATACAAGCAGTGAGTTAAAGACAAATAAATGTAGACAGTCAAACGTAATGACATGATCTTGGAGTAATTAAGAAATAATACCGTTTGATTTCAAATAACTGTCGAAGACAGTCACTTAAACCACTGCAAATGTATTAAATACAGTAATGAAAGTCAATTGTGGTTTACTGATACACTATAAATATCTCATATTTACAGCTAAAGAACGCTAAACTACGATCTTAACCTAACTGGCGTACGTATAACAGGGAACTATCTTGATTAAAAGTTTAAGAACTAGAACAAAATCAACTTTGCCTCTGTAGGAATTCGTTTAACCCAGATGAACTAGCAATAGCTCTCTTAACTGCGCTAACAATGAATCCAACAACTAAATAATGACAGCCCTTGTTCTATAAAACAAAGAAACTCATTATGAAAACACTTTTACCGTCATAAGCCCAATTTTCTCAATTTTTTACAATGACATTTTTTTTTGCCTTTAAACGAAGTCTCTCACACTGACTCACTCCTCCCTCCTCAATCATGCTATCACAAAACTACTAACATTAATTGCAAATGACTACAAAATGTACCGTGTCGAGTCATTTCTCTTAACTGTCAGGGCTTGCTTGTAAACTGTTTTTCAGTTTGAGTTTCTTAGATAAAGTGCATAAGCTATAATGATGAAAGGTGCCTTTAAAACAATTTAGCTGACATTTTACAAGATAGTCATTTTCAATCGAACTCAATCTAAGCCTATCTTACTGCAACCTTATGCTGCGTTTGTAACTACATCTTTTGTGCTTTTTTACATTACATTCAGCTACACTATTGATTAGTTTTGCGGTTTTCTTTGATGTAAAGGTGATTTTGTCCTTGACAAGAAAGACTTGAACATGACAGAGCCCCCTTAAGAATGTAGACTGTCGCAGTCATTAGACAAGTGGATAACTGGCATCCGTAGCAATTCCACACTGATTTTCTTTGTTACGTGTCATCATGATGTAACCTTTTGAACCCCAACTAGCACCCCAGCTATAAAACAGAACAAACAAGAAAATTAGCAACTACAGTTTATCAAAACCATACATGTATGACAAATTGGCTGTCAGAAGGCCTAGTTTTAGCCCCAGTAGGAGGAGTGTATGCATCATGGGTTGCTGTATGCAACAGYATGTAATTGGACACTCCSCTCAGACAGATGTCACTGGAGAGTCTGTGTCATTTGTTCAATCACAAGACAACATGATTACAGACTGACGCAATTGGATGACTTRAAGTGCRCCTATTAGGGGTTTTTGGAATACAGGATATTTAAGGTAAAAAATTATCAAGATAAGGGTATTTCAGGGGAAATTAATGGATAGCGGATCTTTAGATCAGATAAAACAGGATTTTGAGTGGAAAAATAGTTGATTTGCAATTGGAATTAAGGTGATACTGGATATTTAGGCTAAAACTTAATGTGATGTGAGATACTCAGATCAACCCCCTCCCCTTCCATATCACTGTCCGAATTAGACTCAGTGCTATTGCTATCATCTACTAATAATAAAGTTCCTGAAGAAGTACATGTAGAAGGTACCAATCCATTCTCCAAATCCTTTATTTTGTCATCCCTACATGCACTTGTATTCATATGTCATACTCTGTCATGATGGTTAGCTACAAAAACATGAAAGACAACTCAAAGACACTTCTTGCACAATTTGAAAAGACCATGGGATCTCTCCCTGGTTTCTTTCAATAAGGGCTACACGCCCTCCACCCACCACACCCACCTGTTCTTCACAAGCCAGTAATCCTTGCCGTCCGGTGTTGTTCCATAACCCACCACCAACACACCATGATCCAGCTCAGTGCTGCTACATTCAGGTTCATCGTAAACACCATCCTTGTAGAACTGGAAGGACATATGCGATGCGTCAATTGCCACAGAGATGGGCCCCACAGTAGCAGCAGCAACCTTCAGGGCTGCTTCGTCTCCACTTGTAACATCTACAAAACCAGTGTCGTCAGCACCGACAGATGATGCATTAAAATGGCAGGTCTCATCCTACAAGAAATTTTTTGACAAATTGCAGAGATTAGTATAATGAGGGAGTGGGCTAGAGTAGGAGTACACCCTAATCTAGTACCCAGATCTCACTCTGTTTGGTGCTTGGCCATGGGAGATCTGGATCCGAGATTAAGTAATTCCATATCCATACGTATAACACTGTCTCTTGGCACATTTTTTGGTAGCACACAGGGCTGAGTTGGTAGTTCCTTGTTCCTTGCCCTTCGGGTTCAAACTTGGGGAAATTGTCCAGGGTTACTACTAAGGTTGCAGGGGTTTCATTAAATGTTTTCACAGGCAGCAAAACTTTTTAAACTGAACTTCCATAGACATGTAAGAAAACCGTTCCTCTAAATGGTCAAACTAGCTGGCAAAATCATCCACACAGCCGGTCAATTTGCCCGCTGCCCAGTCCTTAATGAAACCCGTAAGCTTGGTAGGTAAGGATACTTACCCTAGCAAGGTAGGGATAGCTCTTTTCTGTGTCAATTCCATCGTTTGCCTTGATGTACTTGAAGGCATTATCCATCAAACCGCCTTCACATCCATGATTTCCAAACTTTTCTGAGCAGTCAACCAGATTCTGTTCACTCAAAGAGACCAGTTTTCCTGTCTTCTTAAAGTGCTGGCCTTCCAGTGAACCAGTCTGAAAGTAAAATCAGAGGAAAGGCTTATAACCTTACATTGTTCCTTGTAGCCATTCAATGTATACAGAGGGTGAAATGCACGCAGCTAAGGCAATTTTATTGTAAAACTTTGCATGCATTTGTTAGTCAATCTTGAACTCGAACTGCAATTTAAAGTACAAGGCAGGGAGGGAGGGAGGGGAGAGGAGGCTTGGGGGCATTAAAAGGAATAATGTGCAAACCACCCACCCATCCTCTCACTCCCTAACCCTTCTCTATCCCTATCAGGATCCCATATCAGCCCCACCCCTCCCCAACATTTGTACTACCCCCATAGTTACCACAACAAGATTCTTTTTGAGTGCTGTATCTCTGATTCTGCAGTCCACCTTTACCTCCACTAAGCCACAAAAGGTGTAATCATACATGTACATTGTAGCTCTTGGTCAAATAAGTGTATGGTCCTAAACTCCACCTTTCCCTTTGATGAATATTCAACTGGTTTGAAAAACCTGACCTGTACATGTACATGTAAAGCACTCTAAAGATTAGCACTAACAGTAATAAAACTAACAACAATCGCTTACTGTGCTGAAAGCCCAGCATGATCCACACTGGCCTTGATTCTTGACGGGTGTCACATAACCCTTTGTTCTCCAATCAACTTCCTTTGGTAGCAGAACATTGTTTGGTGGAAGGAAGGCAGATGCCACTAACTCTTTGTTCTTAGTGTTCCTGTATGCACTGTTGTAGCCATTTAAAATCAAATGAACTTCTTTACTTGTCTAAAAGAAATAAAGAAACAGAGGGAATTGGTCATGGGAACTTTTTGGATGCTGTAAATCTGAACCCTTCTTGTTAGCAATTTATTTTTGCCTTTGAAGAAATTAAACTTATAATAATATTTATTTAATATTTATTGATTCGATTATTTATTTATTTATTTAATATTTATTTATCTATTGCATATTCACAAACTTCTTTGATGTAGCCACTACCTTGAAAATATGACAAGATTTTCAAATTAAGTGGGCCAGTGGTGGTCAGATTTAATCAACAGGGCTCTATTGCTGTACCAGGAAATGAATACAGAGTATTTAAATTTGGTGTGGAAAAAAAAATTATTTGTGACACATTATATAAGATTAGTCTGAAGAGTAAAAAACTGTTTCTTTACAGGTTCAGTTGCCAGTATCATCCAAGATATATACATGAATGTTTTGATATGTTTATTTATGATGAATAATATTATGGTTGTGTTGCTGCCAGATTGAGGAGATCAATGATGATAATGATAACAAGTTAACATTTGAAGAAAAAACTTATAAAGTTCCAAAAATAATGCAATGGATTTTATTATAGTTTATCATGGAACAGAAGCTGAAAAAGTATTAACAAAACAAATACTGAAAATGAATTAAAAAGTAAGACAGTTCTTGCATACCATGTCTCCTAAGTGATTCATTTCAAGTCTGAACTTGCTGTTCCCTTCAGAATTGTGTTTATTAATGTACTTGAGGTTCTCATTCCAAATGGTGTAACGCAAATGTTCCTCGTCGTCAGATTCATATTTCTTTTCATGGAATTCTTTCCAAGCGTGCCAAGCATTGTCTTTGATCAGAAGTTCTGACAATGCCACAGAAAAGCTGACAGCCAAGAGAAAGGTTAACATCAGATGAGCCATGATGAGCTGAATGTCCTGAAAAACATAGAAAGGAAAACTTTCGAGATTTAGGTCATGTTTTCATTATTGAGATCAACTATTTCTGGTTGGTTAGGGGTTTTTTGTGTTGTCTTGGGGAAAAATGTTTTCGGTTGGTTTATTTGGTTGATCAACTTTTTCAACCCGCCTCAAACCAGGTTGAAACAGTTGAAAAAGCATTTGCATGATTACATCACATGATTGTAGCTAGTGTAAGGACTATTCTCAGGAGTTACTGCGTTTCAACCAAAAATAGTTGCAAAAGAGTTCTATCGAGAAACATCAACCGTATCAACACAAACTGGTTGCAGTTGAAACAGTTAATCCCAATAGAATCGACCTTGGAGACTTTTGATTAGAACATTGCACTTTAAAAAAAGAAAAGAAAACTTGAACAAATGACTATAACAAATGAAAATGTTGCTTCTCGATTCTGCTGGAGTCATACCAAATTAAAGTTGCCTAGCAACCAGAATCAAAATAAATATTTAAACTTCTTAGAGCTTTGGGAGCCAATTCACAGTCCGTTTCTCAAGAGTAATGATAAAATGTTACTTGTCTGTGGTCTAGAATGATTGAAGCTACATGACAAAATGTCTTGGTACAAGTTAAGATTGATGGAAATTAAAACTGCAGACTCGATTGAGGGTTGACGCCTGGCATCTGTGTTAGGATAGCTTGAAATTTAGTCAAACCCATCAAAAATATTATGCCTCATTGCATCTGTCAGGTTGATTCTTTTTGCCATTTATACTCATTATGTAGAAGAAACTGGAAAACAGTCATGATGATTTTTTGACAAAACTGAAAAATGGCACTTTCCATGTTCTGACAGTCATTAACGTCATCGACAGAAATGGAAAATACGTAAACTTCTGTTATTCCAAGGGCAGCTGGAAAATAAAGATCATTAATCCGTATATCATTTTTCAGTTTCCTTCAAGGAGATAAGTTTCTTCTGTCAATTCAAACTGAAAATTATTTGGGCCATTGAAAAAAAAAAACAAGAACAATAACAATAACAAAAAAACAGGAAAACACCCCTTTGATCTCTTTTTTAAACCTAGGGATTTAATACTTAAACTTTACTACTAGAAAACTTAAATATCCATTCAAAAATTATGTTAACTTGAACCACGCATACATTTAGATTGTCAACACACTAAACCATAGATGTAGGCCGGCTTGCCTCACTTCCTGATTTGCTAATGGCACGCTCACAGCCTAAAAAGGAAGTCTTTTTAATGAAATATGCTCAAATAGCAGAAGCTGGAGTACTCCTAATTGCTACATAATGATACAAAAATGAGTGCAGAGGTTAATACTGCACCACTGATGAGCCAAATGTATCTACTGGCTCTTCAACCCTATAAATATCACTGTTTGAAATAAACTTTTAGTTCAACTACCAAGCAAAACCATTGAACTTTAAATTACCCACAGCATGTACATGGGATGATTATCAATTTTTACAAAGACAAGTCCACAAATGACTGTTTCATGTTGTTGGCACTAGTTAGCAATTTCTTGTGTAGACAAAGTATGATCTGAAAGTATCGTGCATTCACAGCGGGAGCTGCGTGTAGTGAGTTTTGTGCCCATCACCAAAGCTTTGTTCCTTACTATGATAAAAAATATTGTATTCCTGTTCTGGAATCATGATAAAACTAGAAAATAATTTCACATTTCTATTACACGGCTGATGAAGTTCGGTTGAGCCAAATGAAATATTCCACTTTTAAAAAGAGTTTCATTGCACTCTGAGTACAGGAAATTATTTCATATTTCCTCACTGTTCGTACGAGTCTGTTACATAACTTCGTTGTACCGGTGTTTAAAAACTTGTCAGGATTCATTGCAACAGAAACCCTTTCAGCCATGTTTCAGATCAGAGAAAATACCAAAGTTAAGGAAGGCCAAGGGTAAAATAGATTTTCAAGCTGTCAAAGATTCCATTCATGGCCATGTTGTGTTTAGGAGAAACAAAAGCACGACTCTTAAGTTTACAGAGAACTCAAAACAAAGCTGCGAAACTCTTGCTACGAATCAAAACAGATCGGATTGCAGTAAGCATAATAATAAAAGCTAAAAGCTTAGGATTTTAACACAACATCAGAGTTGTAATACTTACACAAAACGGTATGAGTCAGCGTCTTCGTTTAGTGAACGTTACGTGATAAGATTTCTGTAGAGAAAGAAATATCGATATTGAACAAAGGACAAAAACTCGTGACTCGCAGTCTCGTGATCTACGCCAATGAATTCATGAATACGGAATTCGAGGAAGCGGAAATTTTTGAAGTATTTCACGTAATCTGACTGATTTCGTGCGTTCGCATCTTAATGACGCACAAGCAATTTTCAATGAACGATTAAAAAAAAATCGAACGACTGTGTTAACTTACTTTCAAGGACGCTGTGACCGTCTTTTAGCACAGACCTTGTTATCTCTAGCCTTCGCTTCCCCTGCTTCGATTCAGTCGCTCCTGCTGGCGCCTTGTTTGTGTTTATATAGTGACGACCGCTGAGCTGCGCGAAGGTAGGCGCTAAAAGATGATCACATGGCTCACTCGCCACAGGACACCCAGGACAGGCAATTTCTCTGTTTTCAAGTGCTTTCAGTCAGCAGTAACAGTTATTCCGATTAGGCAATTTTTTTTTAAGAATACGATCGTCTTTTTGCATGTTCAACAGCTTTTTAAGTGACTTTTCTTCATTCTACATTGATTTGGGTTTACTGGGGCTGCAACTTCCATCTATAGTAGTACCTTATCTGGATTTGAGGGCTTAATATTTCCTCACTTACCGGAAGTATGAGGTATGTCAGAAAAAATCGTGACGATGCATTTAAAAGGAAAGTATGGCTTCTCCTGGATCATCCATACTTGCACATAAAAATTCAAAACCGTGCAAATTCTAATTGTCTCTTAAGCGAGGGTTGGGGGCAGAGGGGCATGGACGAGGAACTGAGGGGACAAAAATATGTCTGTGTTGACTTAAAAGGATAGGATTCTACTGCCCTTAAATAGTTTAACTGGCTAGTGTGTGATCTGGTTATATGTTTGATTTGTAGAAACATAGATTACTGGTAGGCATTTGTGTTTTTTTTAACACTTCTATATTTCAGAGAATTCCAAGCAAGGATCTGTTAATGTTTACAAAATGTCCATTGATATTGCAGTTATGTTATAATAATATTATGATTAAAAGTCTCCTTTTCATGAAAATCTTTNCCCTGATTTCTCAAACCACAAAAATTTCCACAGCAATTTTTGTTTCCCTTGCAGTTTCAAAAAATCACGATTCCAATGTAGGTAGTTCCTTTGATCTACTGAACATTTCCAATTACTGGGTCAATGTAAAACATTCCAGTGACCTCTAAAATCTTGTTAAAGCAGCCAGAGCAATAACACATCATTACTGACAAAATAAGTTTGCCTACCTGTTCTTGACAAGCCAGTAATCTTGACCGTCTTCGCTGCCATATCCCACGACTAGGACACCATGATCAAGTTGAGTACTGCTACAAGCGGGTTCGTCGTAAACACCTGTGTGGTAAAACTGAAAGGAACTGTGGCTAGCATCGATTGCTACTGAGATTGGACCAATGGAAGCAGAGGCTGCTTGGAGGGCAGACTCATCTCCCGATGCAATATCCACAAAACCAGTGTCAGTCGCACCAACATCAGAAACATTGAAATGACAAGTGCCAACCTATGAGAAAGTGAATTGTGATGGTTAGGCATCCACACATGTTTTAAAGTCAATCATGCAAGTTACTCAGAAAAAATGGACACTGTGCAACGGTAGTTGAACAAACAACCTTTGCACACTTTCCAACACAACTTTTAAGCTAAATAGATTCTTGGGAGCTCAGTAGTCACTTGGCAGTATTGTGATAGATAAATGAAATAGGCTGAATAGCCCAATAAGGTGGTGTTTCATTTTCCATCTTTTAAATCAAACTGAAATTGTTTGAGAAGAGTGGAAAACTAGCTGAAGACACCATTACAGTGCAAGGTGAACGGAACATTTAAATGATCCAAATACATGTATATTTCATTTTGAAAATGATTGTACCTTGGCAAGATATGGGTAACTTTGTTCAGTGTCAACACCATCGTTGCTTTTAATGTACTTAAAAGCATTGTCCATCAGACCACCATGACAACCATTGTTTCCAAATGACTCAGAGCAGTCTACAAGATTCTGTTCACTAAGAGAGACAAGCTTGCCAGTCTTCTTGAAGTGTTGTCCTTCTAAAGATCCAGTCTAAAAAAGAAGGTGCACACTCAGTTTATTCTCCTAACCTTTGCCATATATTTCTTTCAATACAGGTTCTGAGAATCCTGTCTACAAGACAGTGTGTTAATATTATAAAGAGAAATAAAATTTCAATCAAATAACTTACTGTACTAAAAGCCCAGCATGATCCACAATGGGCTTGGTTCTTAACTGGAGTCACATAACCTTCCGTTCTCCAATCGACAGTGTCTGGAATCTTCAAATTTGATGGTGTAAGGAAAGTGGAAGCTTTGTCCTTGGAGCCCAGCAAGTTATTTTTCATCTTGTATCCATTCAGCATCTCTTTTACTTCTTGTGATGTCTAAACAAAACAGCAAAA